TGTTTGTGTGTGTGTGTGATTGTGTGTATGTGTGTGTGAAGCAGGGATTATAATAGCATTAAACACACATTGTCAGACACAAGAATAAAAAAGGGATTTTCTCCTGATGTTTTCATTCTTGTCGTCTCAGCTGGTGTTTTGTATATTAAAGACAAAAGATCACAGTCGGTTCAGTGACTCACATGTTGACAGAGGAGTATTTTCAGTGGCGTAGACACTCCCTGCACATTGGACCACTGGCACTTACTCACAATGCAAATAGGTGCAACCAACAGCCAGATCAGGCAATATTTAAAAAATAAAATGACATGTCCAAATCATAACTGCTGTTGCTATAGATCTTCTTCTTCTTTATCGGTAGGTGGAAACCAACGTCAAGATGCACTGCTGACCATTCCATAGATCTTGATAAAAATGTTGAATGAGAAACAAAATATGACCGAAAGTAGCAAAGAGTATAACCAAGAGTTTATTCGATGCCTTTGACTCAAAGCCAAAATTCTGTGTTTTAGAAATGACGGATTAGAGAAACCAGAGTGTGTTAAAATGAGAAATGATAGAGTCCAAACCAGACCTGCATTTTTCCTCTATGTGTGTATGCTTTGCGTGTGATGTGGGGTAAAGACGGGGTAAATATATACTCAGTGGAAGAATCCTCGGGGCACATGCCACTTTGCATTCAACCACAAGCTCTCACACATGCACACAGTGCATAAATGCATGATATTGCACCTGTTGCTCATGCAGTTTTTAGGCAAACTTTTTGTTGTTGTTGGGGTTGCAGTTTGACGTATACAACTTTACATCAGCTGCACTGTGCAGTATAGAACTCACATCACATCACGGCCATCTCTGCATCTCATAGAAACCCATGAGGAACACAAATTCTCATATCAGCTGATTTATGCAGAACCATATGTGTTGTGTTTTAGAGGGCGAGGTGGGGGCTGGTGGCTTTGACCCCCATCTCCAATTTCAGCATATGAGTGTCACACTGTTTCTGGTATTTTACCTGACCCCCCCCCCCACCACACACACACACACACACACACACACACTTCAAATATAGCCTATACCAGGAGGCCTACATCCCCAAAGCAGCTCAGACAGAGAAACAAGAAGGCCAACTGGTTTCATGGTGGCCTTCAGGAGAATGTATCATGTTTGTTCCAGTGAATTCCTTGATGCCACGGAAAATACTGGTTACTTGTTTCGAGTTGCACGTACGTGTGTGGTGTACATGATTATGCATGTGGCCTCAAGAGGGTGGTTAGGTTTAAATTGAAGACTGAGTGGCATTATACAGTACAGTGGATGTTCTGAATGGAAAAAAAAAACTCAAGAAACAAGCACTGAGGTTCTCAACATCAAAATATAAATTGAAATCTAGCCAAGGAAAAAAGCCATGATCTTGATTTAACAATTTTTTTTTAACCCCATCTACAAAAAATCTGAATACTCCCCCTGATACCCACTCGTCCTTGTTTACACAGCAAACATTTTCCCAACTTGTAAAATTCCATGCATAATAATATTAGGAGAGCCTAAACAGTTTGACCACTCACACAGACACAAGCATTCATGAAGGGATCGTGTGAGGGTTTGGAAAGCATGTGTTTCAAATGGGCTCCAAATGGTGTAACATGCAACCGTGCATTCCGTCAAGTTAGACTATGTGTGTGTGTTTGGGATATTTATGTAATGTGCAGGGGCTCTGTGAGAAGGAAACGCATCCTTTTAGATGTCTGCCGCTGACAAGTTGGCATTGGCGCTGTGCACCGAGCCACCAATCATTGGGTTCAAGCCGCCGTCAGGCAGGTACACTCCCAGCCACGCATGGCTGAGCGTAAGCTGCAGAACCCCGCAGGATCTAGACAACTTCAAAGAGGCAGCTTTTTTCTTTTTTTACATGGCTTTCAGGTGGTGCAACCTGCTCTCCAGCAGCCATATTGGAGGGCCACAGCTCCTGGGCAACAACTGACAAAAAGTATAAGCTGTCTTAACAGAATTCAGCCCGGCTTTGTTGCACATAAAGAAAAGTAGTTTCGAGCACCAGTTGTTATGTTTTGCATGTTAAGACAAATACACTGTGGGTCATTTTATGAAATGACTCCAGACAATAAAAGAAGAGCAGTAAAAGCTGTTTAGTCATGTTACCTATTAAGACGTATCAAGCTGCAACTGGTAGCAATTTGAAGCCAAGAGCAAAGGTTGGAAAGAAAACAGCATCTATCTGTGCCACATATTTAGAATGTGGAAATGTTTTTTAGTTTTAGTCATACATACATTTGCCACTCATGACCTGACATTTGTCCAATATCTCCATGTCTTTTCTGTTTATGATATTTTGAACAGTTATGGGTCTATTTCTAAATGCCAGAAAGTCCATAGCAACTAGAAATGCTGTCGTTATACAGTATACTGACCAGAGGGTTTATATAGTTTTGTGGTTTGTATGATTGTCTATATCTGACAGTTTAAACACACATACTCTGTTAAGGACTCAGGAGCTGATAACAGTATGACTAATGGAATATTTCACATATGAGTAACAGAAACGATATCACATCTATATTGTTCTCTCTAAGGCAGGGACACTATCTGATTGTGATCTTTCTTTCATTTCATTTCCTTATTTTTTTTCACAGTGTATGACAAATAACAATCATTGAAACTCAAATCCTGTTTGCTGCTTCTGTTTCCCCCTCTCAAACTTTACAATGGAAATGCGGAGGAAACTTTTTCCCTTGAAGGCCATAACAATCAATAATCTGTGAGAAGGAAACATGCTTTCAAACGACTGCTGTTTGCGGCAATCTTTCACAAATATGTAGAATATATCACATGACATCAAGTTTTGGTTTTTGCACATAAATGTCACCTTTTCAGAAAGTGTCCATTCGGGAAGCAGCCACATCTTCTTTCAAACAAAACATTTATACAGTGCATGTAAAACTGTTTCCTTGACAGAAAAGTGCATTCAGTAAACACAAACTAAGGGCTGGACTGGGCTTGTTTGGGAGCTGTGAAGTCTTTTTCTTTTTTTGAATGCACTGTTTTGGTCCGTGTGTTGTCTTTAGTTTTAACTGACATAGCTGTGGTTTCAACCCGAAGGAAGCAACCAACTGTACTGCAGAAGTCTGACACATGGAAATGGACTTAAGATCTGCATGCAAGACATTTAAACTCTCAACATTAAAGTCACAAACACTCGTTTTTTTTCCTTCTCTCTCTTTTTTCAATGGTTTGCATGCATGCGATCAGATTCCTCCTTTTTGCAAAGGGATGCGTTTAAAAGTAGTTCCTTGGGCTCCTCTCAATGATTTTCCCATAATTCTGTCACCACTGTCTTCCTTCATCTTTGATGGGTTCCCAAGATCAGGTATCAGGTATAAATGAAAAAAAGTGTCACAGTGGAATTGTCATTTGTCGGGGTTGATGATTACATTTGCTGACATGTGCATGCATGTGCACACTCAAACATACACATGCTTCATCAACCCTGAAAGCAGTGAGGTACAGTAAAGTCCTGCTGTTTTGATACAGATCATCTTGCCGCAACCAAGCACATTCAAAACTTGTAGAGTCAAAAAGGCAAATACAAAAAGTGCTCCAGCGGCAAAGAAAAGAAACCTGTTTTTTCAGTTGTCTTTGCCAGCATTTGACACCTTTGTCTCTAAGCGCCAGCCTGGCGGTTAATCAAAAAGGTGTGTTTGTGTCAGAGGAGTTCAGCCTGGCCGTGAGTGTGTGCAGCGCTCTCCCTTGCAGACCTTTTTGGCTTGTGGTTGTAATTTTGTTTGAATGGTTGCAAGATGGACCAGTACCCACTTCAATGCATGTCTTATTAGGACAGGATCAAACGCGGTGCATTGTGCCAAAGTGCGTCATGCAGTGAAGTCGCAAATAGAAAAGTAGACAGAGGGAGAAGTTATTCCAGATAATGCTGAAAAAAAATAATAATGTGGCCAATGCATACAGAAAAAACAAAAAGAAATGCACCTACTCGATGTGGCACACTGGCCCTCACCAGGGTGACTAACTGCCTTTCCGATAAAAAGATAATCTCCATCATGCAACTTCTCACCTTGACAAACCTGAACTACAGCACAGTAAAAACGTGACGTCATGATGTAAGTATATTTTGATGATTTAAAGTAGTTGATAGTGTCTACAGTCAGAGTCCTTGTAATGAAATCCGTCCCTATCAGATGAATGCACAGAAGTGGATGAGACATCAACTGTATTTACACTCCACCTCTGCCTCTATATGTCACATCGACACTGCATTCACAACTCTATGTGTTACATTAACGCTCACATGCATATTGGAAATACTCTGTATACTGTGAACACTTGCACATTGTACTACTCAGCTGTACTGCTCTTCTCATTTTTTTTCTATAAAACATACTGTGTATATATTTTTAAATTTTGATTTATATTGTWAAATTTTAATACTTGATTTTCTTATCTTATATTTAGAGATGTCTGACATGCACCAACAACACCAAAACAAATTCCATGTATGTGTAAAAAACTTACTTGGCAGTAAAAGCTTTTCTGATTCTGATTCTGATTGTAAAAAAAAAGCCTGACATCGAGCTTAAGTATAGAATGTGCTTTCCTGCAACTCTGTGTGCAATCATTTATTTGTATGCATGGGTATGGACTGTGTATGTGAGCATTATTTGTGAGAGCACACCCCCATTCCATGCACCAGGGCTGTAAACACTGTCCCCTCCTCAGCTCCTGGCTAATCATTCCCGTACAATGGCTTCTTGGAATTCATTTCAAACAGAGTGGTTTCGACTCAGCCAGGCCGTT